CACACACACACACACACACACACACACACACACACACACACACACACCACTATTACTAAGCTTGTACTTGCTCTTAGTTTGTATTGTAGAATCCACTGTGCATATGTGAAATATGCCCAAACAATGAGTACAGTATCTAGTGACAGCTTAAGTGAAGACTGCTCAAAAGTACAGAGAGCTAAAAATTAGTAATATTTACAACTGAATGTAGCTGCTTTTTTTTTTTCAACTTACCTGCTGTTTGCCAGTCCGTAGGTTACGTTTCTTCAAGCCTGTGCCCATAAGGAAATCATTAGATCTTGTTTTTCTTTTAGCCAAGATGGATATTGGTTAGGGAGAAGTTAAAGAAAAATACATCACTGGCAGGAATCCTCAGTGGGGTTTGAACTTCAAACCTTCTCCTGCAGGGCACTTGAAAAATTTGTTACCTAATGGTTAAGTCCTGGGTTCAAGGGAAATTCCAAAAGATCCATTAAGGCCTTTGAGTTTCATGTCATGCTGCTTTTTTTTAACAGCTTTTGAAGCCTTTACTTGAGGGAAGGAGTAACTTACAATGCCTTCTCCCTTAGTCTTTGGTTTTACTGCAAATCACAGGAATAAAGTGGAATGTAGCATTAGGGTCTAGTGTCTTTGATGGCCTCATCATCTAATCATAGGTTTAACATTACTCATTTGCTGGCTCCAGGAATTCCTGCCATTAAGGGCCCTAGAGATGAAACTTTGCCTCAAATATTGATTGAAAGGAAGAGTGAGAAATTTAAGCTCTTTCTGCAATGCTTTTTCTTTAGACTTCTTAGTGAAGCTATTAACAAATGTAGCTATATCAATTTGCTATTTTTATGTATTTTAGAAAAGTTATTTAATGATTCAAAATATATAACTGTCCAGTTTTTAAAGGTGAAAAAGGATGTACACAGATTTAGAAAAATTAGAATTATTTATTCAGTTTCTATTTTACCAAAAATTGTAATGCTTTTGTTTAAACAAGCTTTCTTCTCTCTACCCAATCACCCACATAAAGAAGAGTTTTTACTGTGTGTCCCCCAAACCTGACATTTCTGAGCATTTAAGGATTGTTCCCTTTGCATCCCTATTAAGATTTAGAACCCCATTGTCACTAGGCAATTCTGAGATTGCTGTTGTAACATTACATTGTTGCCTTCTGACAGACTGGTATGAAATGTTCCGATAGGAATTGGTCAACAGGGGGTTCTAATGTCGAGGTGCAACTCTTCTCCCTTCTTCTTTATCAAGCCTGAATATATTACTTCTACAATGAATCTAACCAGCATGGTCCCAGAACACTGTATGATACCAAGTAGTGCCACCAGACTTGCAGTCCCAATATTTTATATAAAGTAATTTAATAAACTTGCTTTTCTGTTTAATTTTAAAACTAGCTGTCAAAAAGGTATGCTAAATAAATATTAAATAATTTGAATATGAAGAAAATAGTTGAAAATATTGGCTAAGAGGAGAGAGACTTTGAGAAACTACATATATGGAGATAGTGTGGTTCTCTGTGTAGGCCACAAAACTGGGAGTCGGGAGACTTGGGTTCCATTCTTAATGCTGCCACTGATTTTTATATTAAATGAGGATAATGATACCTGCCCTTCTCCATAAGATGATTTGAGAAATACAGATTGGAAGCGCTATATGTTTTCTGTACTTTTTAAATATTTATGTTGTAACTATGGCTTTTTTGATAACATGAGCAAATCTTTATTTAAAATGGGTGTTCAAAATGTATTACATTCTCCCAATTACTTGTAGAAGTTTTCAAAGTGTGTATTTTTGTCTTTCAAAAGACAGATGATGATCTAGAAATCTTTGAAAAGTAAGATTTTGTTTGCATAGAACAGGGTAACTTTAGACATTGAAAAAGGAAAGGGAAATGCAAAGTTTGTTTTCCTTTCATTTGCTACAGCAAATTAGATGCTTTTATACTCTTTATGTTAGAAATTCCATGTTAACGACTACAGATTAGCGAGGATGTCAGAATTTTTTTTCTTATCTGAGCTCCTGAATAAACTTAACATTGCCAGTGGCTCACGTCCAAGGAATGGTCTAAATTTACATGAAATATCACATTACAAATGTCTGAAGGTACATGTCATGGATAATTCATTTCATATGGGTAGCCTTTTAGACTGAAGGATATGCAATCAAGTCCATTCCCCCAAAGGAATTTTGAGTCTCTGTGAAAAATACATTTTAAGCTTTAAGGAACTTCTATAGGTATAGTGCATCATTTGGTTTTAATAATTGTTTTCTCTTCTCTATATATTTGGTATATCTTTCTCTATTTTTTTTCTTTTAACAAGCCATAACAACACCCATTTCATTAGACTAAAAACTAAATTAATGTTAGGTTTATTTTCTTTTTATATTTACACAGAACACAAATGGTTCTTCAAATATTTTTTTTTCTGGAAAATTGGTAATATGTAATGACTTGCATGTTATATAAAGCAGGCATCCTCATGCTGACTGCAGTATATTTTCTTGTAAAAATGATGAAGATGTGTTATTTTTGACAAGATCTGTGCTTGATTATAGTCTTTGTTCCCCATAGCCTAGTGCTATATGTCACAGCTGTGATGCTGCTTTGAGTGGCAGATTTCTCAAACCATGCAATTTTTTAAAAAAGTGCTTCACATTAGTTTTTTCATTATATTTTCTTCTTTGATATGTAGCAGATTTAGATTTCAATATTTTTTCCAATCTTTTTTCAATACTACAATAGCTTCTAATTATTCCCAGATTTCTTTTAAAGTTTCCCCTCTTCAGAGGTACAGCTTCTGCATAAATTGAGTGATTTTATCCCATAGGATTCTTCAAGTTTTTATAATAAAGCCTTATCAGATATCACTTACATTTTTCTGTACCTTATCTGTCAACAAGAGAGGTTTATTTTCTTAAATACTAAGACATTCTTTTTTATTTAAAATACATTACTAATTAACCTGTTTAAAAGTATAAAGTAACAAATTGAAATTCTTAATAGCTAGCAAACTTCAAATATTTGGCAGTTTTGAAGTTATGTTTCATTTATTCTCCTGATTAACTAAAAGGGATTTTTCCCACTGTGCTTTAAGTTTAATCAGGATCATAACCCAAGGGTCTGCAAAGGAAGCATTTTAAGAGCAACTAGTGTTGCAAGGAAAAGATCTGTTCCTGATTCCTTTTCTTAAGGAAAGACTTGGATTTTAGACATTACACATTGCATATAAGATCTCCCAAGAGACGCCATCTGGGGAATTATGGGGGAAATTTCACATATAAGGAGCAAAAATGATTTACTTATAATTAACAAATAAAACTTCTTATGAGACTCTCATAGAGATGAGAACATTTCAAAACTTCAGTCTTGCAGTACAGGTGTAAATAGGTTTTGAAAATAGTTTTTGAGAAGCTGTGGCACTGTAAATGGTTTACAAAAATGAAATTTTGCCAGATTACGTTGATAGTGTTAGAGAGAGAATTACCGAATTAGTGGACAAATTGAATGTAGCAAACACTGGAGTGAATGTACAGTAAAGCAGATATGGTTTTCAGTTCATTATGGTTTCAAAAGTCAAAATAATCTTGGGCAGTGTACACAAAGTGGATTGGAGAATGTATAGCCACTCTCTAGGACTATGGTGAGATCTCACTTAGAATACTATGTTTATCTGTGGTCATTTTAACACTAAAAGATGTAGGAAGGTTGGAGGAAATGTATATAAAAACAACAAAAATTCTTAAGTAAGAATGATTGATGTAGGGCTTTGGCTATTCAAAAAAGCTGCATTGGTTTTATTCAGGTATCAGTTAAACTGATTTAGTTAAATGGTGCAAATCTTGGTGTGGACACTCTTATTTCAGTTTTAGAGTGGTTTATTTTGGTTTAGCTTAAGTCAGTTAGGAACAGGTTTAAGATAAACCTAGGTAAGCCAGTCTTAAAGCAAAATTAGAGTGTCCACACAGGTATTTGCAT